TTTTTTTTTCTTTTTTGTATCATTGATTTTATTTTTTTTAATGTCTTTATGGACTAATCAGTATGCTGTGCCTAAACGGCAGACTACCAGCAGGTAGCAGCACAACGAAATTTTTCAATAAAATCGTTTATTTTCTCTCTCTCTCTCTCTCTCTCTCTCTCTCTCTCTCTCTCTCATTCTCTCGCCTTCATTTTACTATGGAAAATTTATATTAATGATGGTTGTTGTTGTTGTTGATTAACCATCCATTTCCAATGTCAAGATCAATCTAATCATCATCATCGTTTCTCCCTCTCTCTGCTGATCATCATTATCGTTATCGTTAAATGAAAAGAAAAATTTCAACAACAAAACAACAACAACAACTTTTCATATCTTGTTTTCTCTGTTGAATATATAGACGTCAGATGATTGTAGCAGACGATAATGTCGAGAATTCATTTACACAACCAGTTTTTTTTTGTTGAAAATGATGTTTTTTTTTTCTTTCATTAAGATTAGTTCAACAGTTATTATTAAATTCTAACAAATAAAAACCCAGAAAATTGTTTTTGAAATGAAAAAAAGAAGAAAGTGCAAAAAAGATTTTTGATTGAATCAAAAAAAAAAAAGGTAAAAGTAAAATCTGAATGCTCTGGGTTGGATAATGAATTTTCTTCAATCAATCGATCAATCGATAATCATTACTGATACAGACTTTGAATCATTAACAACAACAACAACCGATTGATTGTTTTTGTAATAAAAAAAAAATATATATCTTTTGGCGTGTGTTTGTGTTAAAAAACATCATAGATTAATTGTCATTGACGAAACAGTAAAAATTCATTGTCATCGTTATTATTTTTCTGTTTCTGTTCTGTTCTGTGGTCTAATCTATTCGGTTTTAACTCCTTGCTCTCTCTGTGTGTGTGCTTATCGCTAAATAAAAAAGATTACCATTCTTATCATCGAAAGTTTTTCTTTCTTTGGTGGCCAAATTTTATAACCAGAAAATCGTTGCCATCATCATTATTCAGCCAGAAAAACTAACGGTTTCGAACCAGAAAGTCTTTTTTTTCAACGAAAAAAACATTGAAAATAATAATAACATGGCTTTACCACCACCAAATGAAGAAATATTGAAAAAAATTGAACGACTACGACAAAGATTTGAAAAAGAATTAGAACAGAATAAAAATGATTATCATCCAGTGGATATTGAACGTGTACGTACTGAACAATGGCAAGTAGAACGTTTTGCAGCTGATGATATTTACACAATGGATGATGATGATGGTCCATTTCAAGCATTATTGAATGCATTAAAATGGAAAAAACAATTCAATGTACATGATCGTACGGAAAAATCATTTCCGAAAGAATTTTTTGAATTAAACGAAGTAGAAATTCATGGTCGTGATATGGATGGACATTTGATTCAATGGGAAGCAACACGTAATCAACGAAAATTTAAAGAATTAGAAACTGTTGTTCGTGAATTTATTGCATTCTGTTTGGAACGTTTAGATCGTTCAGCTGGACGTGATGGTTTTATCTATGTAACCGATAATGGTGGTGCCGGTTTAGCTAATGTTGATATGGATATTAATCGTTTTAAAATTGCCGCTATTGAACATTATCCAATGGGTTTACGTAAAATGTATGTTGTTGATTTACCATGGTTGCTTAATGGTATTATGTCAATGATATTAGCATTCATGAGTCCAAGATTACGTGCATTAGTACATTATTGTAAAAAAACTGAATTACCGAAATTTATTGATATAAAAGATATACCAGAACGATTGAATGGTAAACGTGATAAACGTTCATATCCATCAGATTCACCACCAATGGAACAAATGACCGAATTAGGTTTGGATGAAAAATTTTTGGATTCATTTTATAAACTGTATAAATTGGAACGTCATCCAATTATTAAATGAATTGAAATCGAAATGGATTTGGTGGATTTCATTCGATTGAATAACGGTAATCATTTGGACGAAAAACGAAAAACAAAAACTTGATTTTTTATTGATATTTTTTCATTTTTATACGTGATTTTTATCTGTTTATCATTGATTTGACTTTATTTTGTGTGAATCTATTGAATGAAAATAAATGAAATAAACAAATTAAAATAATTCAATACAAATAAATTGTAAAATTTTTTGAATTATACGACCAATTTGACATATGAATTGATATGCTTGAAAATATTTAACAATTTTCCAGTGATAATAATGTATAAATTGTAATTGTATGATTACAGTTAATAAAGTAATAATAACAAAAATTAATATCATTTGTAAATAACAACGTAATGCTTGATATAGGTAACGTTTTCGATTGAAATTATCAATATTGGCCAATAAATTGAATAGATTATTTTGAAAATTTACAATCAATACGTATAATAACCATAAATCGATAACGAACGTTGTTAGAAAAAATGACCAATAATTAAAACGATAAATATTTAACATTTTCAATGTTTCTTTGTTGTTGATTTCGGTTTTCATTTTTTTCATTTTTTCTTCTTGTTTGTAATTTGAAACGCTTGAAATTTTCTTGAACATAAAGGAAAAATACAATTTTTTACCCGGAAAATGAGCAGTCGTGTAACAAAGTTTTTGAACGGTATTTCGAACTCAATTCTTTATTGTAAAATTCGATGATTCGATGATCATTTCGATCCACCGAAATTACCTTGATCTGATCAACTGATTTAGCCCCAACAACGACAAAGTTTATTTATATGTAGACTAGATTTACAAAATCAATCAACATTCAACATTTTTTGATTACTGATCATAGATCGATTTACAGTGTCAAAACATCCTGCTGATGATGATAATGATGGTATTTAGAACGATGTTTCAATCTTCATTAAGCATTCAAATCATTTGTTTTTGTTTTTTTTAGATAAAACGTGTTACATAACATAAATATAAAAACAAATTTTGATTACAAATTTTTGGTTTTAAAAATCATTCAACGGTATAATAACATGATAATCAATTTTTTTCAAACGTATATAATGAAAAACAATAACAGTATAAATTGTGAAGAAAATTATGGTAACCAATATGATCATTATAATCATTAAACAATGTGATAGAAGATATTTCCAATTGATAATTTGGGACCAACGTTCTGGAATGATTTTTTCATCATCCAAATCATCCATCGAATCAATGGACTCCATCGTCGACGAATCATTAATGGAATCCATCGTCGACGAATCCTCAATAATCATTGCAAGTAAATTATTTTGTTTCATTTTTATTACATTTATCGATTTATTGATTGTATCCTTATCAATAGGAATGGAATTATTCGATGCAAAACAATACCACCATTGTAAATGAATAAATAACGATAATAATACTAAAATCGGTAACGATGAATACATTTTCATCAATTGATCAATCCGAATTCGGTCTTCGAAGAAGAAAATGATGTTTTTGATGTTTGAAAAACCAAATAATGATGATGAAAACCAGAAAAAACATTCAAAAAACATCTTTTTTTTGATTCGATGACTATTATGAACAAACCGATGGCGTCATCTTTCGTTTTTAATTGTGAATTTTAAAAAATTCAAAAAAAAAATTGTTACAACCAAAACGATGATCCAAAAGATCCATTTCGGGAATATATTCAAGCAAAAAAGTCTCTCTCCCTTTTACCGAGAAGAAGATAACAAAAATATCAATATTCGTCTCTTTCGGTTTTTTGGCAACATTTCAAACTTTTCCATCAATCTTACATTTTAGATACTAAAATTTTGTCAATTTGGAAAAAGAGAAAGTTTTGTTTCTCTCAATTTCTCGTCAATTTTTGCATCAATCAATAAATATTCATATTTTGAAAACAAAATAATGTTCATATCGTTTGTCCATCTTCATTATCATCATCTTCATCGCCATTATCGACAAGATTTGCATTTTCAAAGATCAAAAAAAATTCCTGATCAACAATCTTACGCGTCTTGGGAATTTTCAAAAAAAATGATGTGAATGAAAAAAAAATTATCGATCCTGAATCCTTGAACATTTTCAACAACAACAATATCTGTGTATGATAAAATTCAACCGAAAAACTAATTTCACTGGCAAAGATTTTCAAGATGAAATTCATTTTAAATCGAAAAATGATGAATATTGATTCGAAATTGATCGTTTGGTTTGTAGTTTGTTGGATTTATTTGATCATTTCAATTGAATCATTTGAATTTGAACAACAATCACCATGGCTACCATTGATAAAACAACGGGTATGTTTTTCTTTCCGGTTATTTTTTCCCTTACTTTATTTCAATGTTTTTTCCTGTGTTTTTCTGTTTCGTTTGTTATTTTTCAAGCCAAAACGTACAGCACCATATAAATTACCAGCCGGTGCTAAAGAAATTAATCTTAATCAAGATTTTAAAATGACATTTAAATGTGAAAAAGATAATGATGGTTTTTTTGCCGATATCGATAATGAGTAAGTCATTTAACAAAGCAAAACAAAATTTACATTTTTTTTTCAATTTTCTGTTTGTTAAAAATTTTCACAAACAAAAATTTCACACAAAATTGTTGAAATTTTTGGAAACAAAAAAAATTGAATAATCTTTTCACAAAAGATGAAGATGTTCATTTCCCAAATTGCTCAATCATAGATGTGATTTTTTCTTTAAAATTTCCATATTTTTCATTTATTATTTACAAATTTCTTCTCATCTTTATTCGTCAACAATATTCTATAGCAGTGTCATATTTTTTTCGTTTTTTCAATTTTCATTATCCATGGATATCATATTGTGGACAAACAAATCATAAATCATTCTTCTATTTCCAAATATCAATGACCGAAAGTGAAAGTGAAAGTTTAAAACAAAACAAAAAAACAAGTAGCCAAGGGAAAAACTGTATCAAATGTTTGTTACAAAATAGTTTATCTAACCTGTTTGTTTATTTTTTTTGTTTTACCGCATCCAAAAAAACATTACAATTGCCGATTGACCAAGTCCACAATATGTTTATATGGTGTCTGTGTGTGGACAATTTGTTTGTTTGTTTCAAAAGTTTTCCATTGTCTTTTTGTGTGTGTGTGTGTTTAATCAAAGTTTTAGTTTCAGTTTTTTTCATTTCGGTCATCACCATATTTTCTAATATCCGGATTTTTGTTTAGCTTTAAACAAAACAATAGTAGCCGAGTGCATGTTGAATAATGTCAATCAATTTTCGTCACCGGAAATTTTTGGTAAATAATCCGAAAAACACCCTACATTTATGACGCGTAATTTTGTTTGTTTAGATTCTAAACTTTAGAAGAAGAGAGAGAGAGAGATATTTCAATTTTGTTAATTAATTTGTTTTTGGTTATTATAATCAGAACTTACCAAACGGATTATTCGGTTAAGAATAAATGTAAATACAAGCAAGAAAACTTTAACAAACAAACAAAAAATCCATAATCCGATTTTAGAATATGCTGAATTTAATCGAATCAATTTGATTGATTCGATTAATTTATTTTGATGAAATGAATGACACCTGTTGATTTTTTAAATTTTTGATTGTTTTTTTCCTTGAAAAAAAGCTGTAAAATATTTCATCGCTGTCATACGGATCATAATGCCGGTAATCGTATTGAAGTACAACATTATTCATTCATTTGTGGTGAAGGTTTGGTGTTTGATCAATCAACATATAGTTGTACAAGAGTGGATGATGCAATACCATGTGATGCATCTGAAATGTTTTTCAATCTAAATGATCGTATTGGTTCGGATGGACCATTTCTAACTGAAGCTGATATTGAACGTGCTAAAGCAGCTCGACCAGAATATCGTCGTCGTCGTCGACGACGTGGTCGTAATCGTCGAAGCCATCGAAGACATCATCAATGAAATAGAAACATCAGCGAAAATCAAAATTGGTAAAAATTGTTGAGCTTATTATTTCCATTAACACTTTGTATATCCATTGGGCCTTTTTAGCTATTATTATTATTGTTGAATTTTGTAATTTTTAAATAAAAATAAAAATTTATTAAATCAAAAAACAAGCAAAAAATCTCATTGAAAATCCCATTGAGAATCTACTAATTTTTCAACTTTTTTCAAACACGTTTTGTTCGAATAAGTTTTTTTGTATTATTCGAACCTGATGATGTCATTATCGGTGGTTTATTTTCATTCGCCATTAGATTCATATGTTTAAATTTTGAAACAATTTCAGGATGATGATGATGATAATGTTGTTTTTGTCGTTTTTGTTGATTTTGAATTGGATTATTATTAGCAGTTTTTGATTCTGATCTTAAATCTTTCAAACTTTTTCCTTTCATATAAATCTTAATATTTCTTGATAATTTATTTCGAAATGAATTTGGTTGTTCATCGATTATCTTTCGATCATGTATTTTGCCCGAAGATGACGATGATGATGGTGATATTGATTTAGGTAAATGTGATGACCTGGAACGAATTTCAGCATTCAATACTTCTAACATTTGATTTAGTATAGCATTTTCACGTTCACTCATTTCAATTGAATATTGTAAAATTTTCTGTGCATTTAATAATGTTTGTAATTTTTCTTCATATTTTTCTTTATCAATTCCAGCCACCGGTTGTTGTTGTTGTTGTTTTGATTTATTTCCTAAAGGGAATGATCGTCCACAATCAACTTTGTTGTTGTTGTTGTTGATGATGATCAACGATATTATCATCATCATCCAAATCAGTATTAGTTTTCTGAACATCATTTTTTTTTGTTGACAAAATCGATAATCGAAAAATCTTCAAAGAACTATGCAGATAAAAAGAAATTTAAGAAAAAAATTACAAAACTAATCAAAAGAATTACGGAAAATGGAAATAAATTTCACTGGTTTTTATAGCCAAAATAACAATGTAACAATTTTTTTTTATTTTAAATAACTTAATTTAATAAATTCAAATTGACTTTTTGATTTTTCAAATACGTTTGATTCGAACATGTTTTGTATTATTACCTGTCCTGTTTCTAATGTCATGTCTAATTATTATTAATAGCATCTTCTAATTGAAAATTTTTTGATCGTTTTTTCATTGAAATCTTAATCCTATGTAATAATTTCTTTCTATTAGTTGAATTTGCTGATTTATCCGATAATTTTCGTTCATGTATTTTACCTGATGACGATGATTTCTTCAATCGAGATTTTAATGTTCGTATTTCAGCATTAATTTTTTCTAACATTTGTTTCTGTTCATCAACTTCATGTTGATTTATTTCCAATGATTCTTGTAAAATTTTCTGTGCATTCAATAATGTTTGTAATTTTTCTTCAAATATTTTCCTATCATTTCCAATCGGTTGTTGTTGTTGTTGTAATGATCGTAATTCTATCGTCTTTCTTGATGATCCTAGCGGTAATGATCTTTCACAATCAACCTTGTTGTTGTTGTTGTGGATGACCAATATCGATATTATCATCATCCAAATCAGTATTGATTTTTGGTTTAGCATCGTTTATTTTTCACGCGATAATCAATACAAAACTAGCCAAAACTATGCAGGTAAAAAAAAGAAAACAAAAAAACCAAAAAGAATTACTTAAAATGGAAATAAATTTCAATGTTTTTTTTATATATATTCATTAATTAATAACAATGTAACAAAATTTTCAACAACGAAAAAAATGAAAAAAATGAAATTTTGAGAAATTTTCCGGAAATTTTTTTTCCCCATAGAAATCTATTTTTCACATCCATATTTCGTACATGTTAATTTTCGTATTGTATACGGTGTTGTTCGTTGTCGATGTTTCGATCGATGTTTTCGATTTCTTCGTAATGGTATACGTTGTGGTTGATCATTGGAAATAATATCTGGTACATAATGTGGTTGTTGTTGTTGTTCATACGTTTTTTGTCGTCGTACCAATGTATCATGAAATGTTTCATAATTTTTATATAAATTTTTAAATTTCATTCCATTTACGATGATTAAATTCATTATAATTAACATTAATAATAGGTAATTTTGTTGTAATCGTTGTTGCATCATTACAAATTTACAAATCAAAATCAAATTGATCAATCAATCAGAATCGGAAGATAATTAACAAAATGAAGGAAAAAACTTTAAATTTAAATTTAAAATCGGATTTTCTTTCGAAATTTATCGACATACGAAGCGTAGTCTCTTTTTTTCTGATAACCCTTTCCTCTCCCTCAATCAGTAAAATTCAATTCGGAATAAAATCAGCTTTTCGTTTTGAATTTTACAACATTTTTTTTTTAATTCAAACAAACTTTAATTTCAAATGGCTATTTAAATATTTTTGGTGAATGAACCTTACCCTAAAATAAAAATACACTCTAATAATGAATAATTGGCAACTGGAATTAAAACTAAACTAAAACAAACAAACAAATTGTAATTGTTCATTGATTACGAAAAAAATTTAATTAGAATTTTTGCAGTGAAAAAATTGTTTTTTTTTTGGGGACAAAATAAACGAAACGAGCTGAATTTTCTTCATTAATTCCAATGAATAAACTTTTTTTTAAAAAGGATAAAAATAAAGTTTTCTGTTTTTTTTTCGGGAAAAAGCGTCCACCATCATTATTATTATTTCGATTATCAGGATGATCATCATCAGGACTTGTTATTCTTTTCAGTTGATTTTTCGGGATTCAATGATGCACGAGATAATCGTTGATGGGGTTGTTGCTTTGGTTGTTGTTTATTTTTCTTTCCAAAATTCAAACGATTACCTATACGTCTCATTAGACGATTTAATCGTTCCATTATCGATCGTTTTTTTTGTTTTTCCGGAATATTTTCCGAAATAATTTGATTATTTTGTTTTCCAGGAACATTTCTCGAATCAGATTCTCTTTTTTGGGAAATTTTCGCATCCAAATCATCATTATTATTATTCGTTTTCACTGGTGAGTCCCATGGATAATATTCACGTAGACGACGATTTTGTGGTGCAACAGCATCAACATTTGTAACAATAAATTCCGTATAAATAATTGAAAATAATATAAAATAAATGAGAAAAATCAAAATTTTATCAATTCGTTTTCGCGGCAACAACAACAACAACGATTTCCGATTTTCCGCATGATCGATTGATAAAGAAGACATTTGGAAATTTTAAACCAAAAAAAAAAAACAGAAAAAATATTTAAAAAATCACCGGGTAAAAAATGAAAAGAAACGTTGATGAAAAAAATGAAATTTTAACCCATTTTTGGTGAAAAAAAAATTGAAACTCATCTCAATTAGTCAAAGGCAAAACTAAAAAAAAAATTCAAAAACATTCGAATTCGAAGGTCGAAACTATCGATATATCGCGATAGTTTTTTGAAAAAAAATGATCATTTTTGAAATTTCAATAATTTTCTTTTTGATAAATTTTTTTTCAATGATTGATTATCGTCATTATCAATCGGAAAATGTTTTTTTTTCGAGAATTTTTACCATGAATTCCTACATTTAAACGAAAAAAAAGACATCCCGACAATGAAAATGTCAAAAAACTTCATCGGCGTCATCGTTTGTTATTTTCCGTTTTTTTGTTTTTCAATCAATAAATTACGTTCATTTTTCAGATTATTTATTGTTTTCTTCCTGCAAACAAACAAACAAACAACGAAAACGAAAAAAAATTCAAATTTTCGTCATCAAATCAATGATAGTTAGACAATGGAATTAATTGATTCTTGGATATGTTTTTGCATGTGGAGGTGTGTGCGTGTGCGTTTTACGTAAAAAACAACGAACGAAAAAAGGACACAAAAACAATCAAATACCTTAACATATTGTCATCAGATATATGTATGTGTTTTCCATTTCTTTTCCGTTTTTTTTCTTCTTCTTCTGCTGCTGCTGTTTTTCGATAAAGATTTATGAACGCAAATTTTGATTGGAACAAAAAAAAATCATCTTTTTTTCTTCTTCTTTCTCAATTTGAAAAAGAAAACGATCATTTTTCTTTCCCTCCTTCTTTAATAAAGAATATTCTGAGTGCGTATTCCACACACACACATACAGAATCGACTCAACAGAGTCGAATCACGGGAAAAAAATATTCCTTTTTTGTGGATTCTGTGTGTGTGTGTGTGTGCAGAGAATCATCATATCATTCAAAAAGATTTTCAACCGGATAACATTTCAGTTTTTCTTCTTCATTGCTGCATTCATTTCATTATCAGATCATCGAAACAAAAAAAAGCTCCACCTCCAACAAATGATCGATATTACGTCATTCATGAAGAAAGTTGAAAAAAAATTCATTCGTTATCAACCACATTATCATCTTAACGACATTAACCGACCTACCAACAAAAAAAAAGGTATCGACGATAATCAGTTTTCATTCATTCATTCATGATTTAACACTCAATTCGTTCAGTCAATCATTTTGGTTTTGTTTGATGATAGGAATTTTTTTTTTCTTGTTGAACCGATCGATTCAACCAACCAACCGATCAAACACACCTATGTAATCAATATATAAACACACATTGATTATCTACAAGTTTAAACAGGTAAGTGATAATGAAAAAACGTTTACGCGTTATCAATTTGTTTTAAGAGTGAAGAAAAATCGTTAATGAATCCTTTTTTTTTTTGTTGCTGTTGAAGATATTCATCACCGAATAACAACAACAACAAACAAGTGATTTCAAGAGAGAGAGAAATTTTCCGGAAATTCTTTTCCCTCGGAAAACAACAACAACAACAACAACCTGGACCATTCAAAATTACCAGACCAAAAAACCGGTAAGTTTCCTGTTTTTTTTTGTTTATTTTTTTTCAAGATTTTTCATTAAATTTTTCAAATGAATTTTTCGTTCAAATGAAATCAATATCTCTATTGATGAATTTTTTTTCGCTGAAAAAAATGAAAATGAAATTCGATATTGGAATTTCGATTTATTGATCCAATTTATTGATCAAGTGTTTCGGGGTTAAAAAAAAATCTGGCTACGCATGCAGAATACTTGAGATCATTATCATTATCATCATCATTTTCTTTTTTTTTTGAAATTAAATTTTTTAATGGAAAAATTTTTTAAAAAACACAACATAAATTTTCTCTCATGTATCGTTTTGATCAATTTTTTTTTCTTTTTTTGATTTCCTCTTGATTTTAATCATTTTTTTTGGTGGTGGTGGTTTTCTTTAATTTTCTGGGGGGGGGGAAATTTCATTCAAAAATCATTAATTTTTGGAATTCTTTTGGAGAATGTTTCAGAAAATCAAATCAATTTTATCCGGTTTTTTTTCTACTCGTTATCTCTCTCTCTCTCTCTCTCTCTTGCTCGAATACTTGAGATTTTGATAACAGCAGAAAAAATCAAACAAAGCCATTTCAAATTTGTTTATTTGACCTTTTTTTTTGTCGTCATCTTCGTCTATATATCATTGTTTGTTTGCTGATTTGTGGACAGATTTTTGTTTTTGTTAAATAAGCAATCTGGAAAAAAATGAATGAATGAAACTTTAATGATTTTATGCTACCAGATTATTATTATTATTTTTTGTTTTAATCCACCAAATGTGAATGAGGGATAATAATCGATAAACAATCAATAAATCAATCAATCAATCACTTTTTTGTGATAATGAAACAATCAAAAAAAAAACTACGTGTGTGTGTATATAGTGTGAAAGTCAACAAAGTGGAAAATTCTTTGCAAAGAATCAAAAGCCAGCTGTTTTTTCTGAATTTTATTATTCTGTTGCCTGTTGCCGATTCTTTCATCGGTTATCATCAACAGAATATTCTGCAAAATAAACAGTCTAGGCAAAAAACGAAAACTATTTCGATCCAAATATTAGTTTTTTGCATTTAACTTTTATCTTTCCCACAATCAATGTTTTTTTTTCTAGGTTAAATATACATTATATAATAACAAATCTTGACCTTTAAATTTGAAAAAACAAAAAACAGACAAACCAAGAACAAACATCAAGATTATCTTATCATCGTTTTTTGTTGGGCTATTTCCACAACAACATCAACCAAACGAATGATTTTAATTAAGAGAAAATCAAAGAATTTTCTGTTTCTGTTTCTATTTGTTTGATTGATTCGAATCAAACAAACAAACGGGAAAAACGCCCGAAAATGAATGAATGAAATGAAAAGAAAAGGAAACCTTTATCCAAAAATCCATATATTAGATCAAATCTATAGATAAAAATATCATTGTTTGTTTGGAAAAATGAAATGAATGAAAATCTTCTTTCTTCTTCTTCTTTAAGACTTGAGCAAACATGATTGTAACATTTTTCCTCCTTCTTTCTTTCTTTCTTTTCTTTCAATAATCCTTGAAAATTAATGTTTCAAAATAATAATAATAATCATCATTTTTGGATGATTAAAAGTTTTTCGTTTTTGTTTTGTTTGCATTTGATATTTATCATCATTTTTTTTTTGTTTGTATAACGATATTAACGATTCATTCCCTTTCATTTGCTCTAAATTAATTAATTGATTTTGATTTTGATTTGAACAAAATTTTCCTTTTCTTTTCTTTTCAAGATTCTTGGAATTTTCTTCTTCTTCTTATGAAATTCTCTGTGTGTGTGCGTTTTTGATAATTCTTTTTTTTCTTAATCTATTTGTTGATAAGATTATGCGTACGAATTACGGATGAAGCAAACGAATGAGAGAGAGAGAGAATTGATTCACAAATACAGTGACCAAAAATAAAGAAAAAAAACTTTAATCGATTAATCGATATGATGATCAATCACAACGATATGGTGGTCAACCAAAATTTAATTTTTTGCCCTCCCCCATTTGTTCAATAAAGGATTAAAGATAGAAATAAAACAAACAAACATTGTTTCCAATTCGATTGATTGATTTAATAATCGGATCAATGAAATGAAATGGAACGAAAAAACAACAATGAATTTAGAGAGAGAAAGAAAACAAACAAACAAACGAAAGGGAAAAAGAAATTTTGATAATTTAAATTCATTTTTCTCATTGTAACCCCCAAAATCTAAGATGAAAGTTTTGAACTTGAATTTCAAACCAACCAAAAAACATAAATGTCAACAAATTATAACCGGATTTTTCAAAGAAAAGTTTTCTGAAAAACTTTTCAATTCAAAAAAAAAAAAAAAAATGCCAAGCAAGCAAGCAAAAAAAAAAAAAAATGAAAAATTTTTTTCTGCTGCTGACCANTTTTGAACTTGAATTTCAAACCAACCAAAAAACATAAATGTCAACAAATTATAACCGAATTTTTCAAAAAAAAGTTTTTTGAAAAACTTTTCAATTCAAAAAAAAAAAAAAATGCCAAGCAAGCAAGCATAAAAAAAACAAAATGAATAATTTTGTTCTGCTGCTGACCAAATTAATGACTTTCCTAATAACTTTTTTTTGTGTGTGTTTGTCCACCGGATAATAACGAAGGGTTAAATTTAATGTTGACCATCACATTATCTTTTTGAAAAAATTGTTTTTTTTTTACTTTTAAAAATGATTTTCTTTTTAAAACGATAATGAGTCATTCATTCATTCATTCAATGAGTAAAATTTCATTAAATTAACTTGAATTAATGAATTTTTACTTTTTTTATTTACTTCAGATTCAATTAATTAATTAATTTTTTTAGAAAACTAATTCTCTCTCTCTCTCTCTCTCTCTCTCTCTCTCTTTGATTATAACAATAATAAGATAATTAATTACAAAAACTTTTTGTTGTTTTTCACTAATAATAATTTGCAAATTGGACAACTTTGACCAAGAACAACAACAACAACAACAAAACTTGATTGTCCATATAAATGAAAGAAAAAAGCTACATTGAATTTAAAACAAAAAACGAGAGAATATTCTGGTTCCAAAAAATGACCATATGACAATTATCATCATCATCATCATCATCAATGTGACCAAATTAATCTAAATGACAATTTAAACGAACATTAGAGCATGAGAAAGAGACATTAAGAGACTTTTGTTTTTATATAATGATCATATAATTAAGCTAAAACACAGCACTTACGGGTTAAGGTCATCATCATTTGTTATTGTTTCGTTGTTTTGCCGAAAAATTACCGAAAAAAACAAAACTTTTACACAATTTTCGTTGATGAATTTCCAAGTGCATTTTTTTTTTGTTTTCGTTAGGATCAATTTAAATCGTGATGATGATGATGGCGGTGGTGTTCCAATGATGTCAAAAATAAATAAAAAAAGTTGACATTCAAAGTTAAATTCACTTAATCATCATCATCATCAGTATCATTAGAGTTGTTGTTTTCGTTTTCGCTGTCAATTATCAATCACTTTTCACTTTTTACGTTAATCTAACATTTGATGATAAGTTTTCTTGTTTTCCTTGTTTCTTCTTCCATTTTGGTTTTCTTCAAATTTGGAAAAAAAAACATATTAGACGAATGAATGGAAAATGGATAAAATTCTTACTTTTGATAAAAAGAAAATGTTTATAATTAATCATTGAAAGATGATGTTGTTATAGGTAACGAATGATGAATTCTTTTTGGATTTTCTTTTTTGATCATTAGAATTCTTGAATGATATTGATTGAAATTGCCATTATTCTTATTGGTTATATCGATGAATGAATAGCTTTTGTCCAGCAACAACAAAATATCCAAAATTCAATGGAATTCGTGATTGATTTCATCATCATCATCGTCATCATTATGATTATTGATTATGATTGAATTTAATTTAGGACAAAAACAAAAATAATCACCGATTGATTTGTAATCATTGATTATCATTAGATAAAAAAAAGAATTTTGGAGGGAAAAATATGAGATTCTTAATGTGATAATAATATTCGATTCTATTTTAACCTATGTGTGTGTGTGTGTGTGACCTAAATTCATTCCGAAATAAAAAAACTCATTGATTAAATTTGTTTGTTTTGTTTTTGTTTGTTGCAAATATTTGTTACACAATGAAATGTCACAAAATGAAAACTAATAAATCAATGATATTGATGATAAAACTAGAAAAAAAAATTTTGTTGCAGGTAACCAGAAAAAATGAGAAAAAAATTCGGTATTCTCAATACGTGCCTTGTGTTGTTAAAATAGAATCGAATAATTAACATTTGTTATATTCCATTTATAATCCTGTCAAAATGAGCAAAAACAAACAAACGAAAACGAACAAAAATTTCAATTTCCAATTATATCATCACCCTGAAAGAAAGAAAGAAATGAATGAATAAAATTCCGTAACAAATATTATCGATGATTATTGAAAATGGGATTTTTTTGTTCGTTTTGAAACATTTGTAGATATACCACGTTTTGTGTCATTATCGTTATCTATTTGTATGATGATTATGTAATTAATGAACCATGGTTTGTGAAATGATTCTTCAAACGCTTCCAATTCAATTCAAATTCATATTTTTTTTGGGTAAATAATGTTAAATTCATTTTTTCTGTGTTCATTTACGAAAATTCATTTTTGTTTTCATTAAAGGTTTTTCTCTCTATTTTTCGAGTTGATTTTGTTCATAAAACGACCATGAAATGTTAATTGATTTAGAATATCATAATGGTCAACGGAAACATGTTCAAGGCTTTGTTCATGGTTATATGTTATTCGTTGACAGCCAAAATGAAATGAACCATTATTATTATTATTATTATTGTTCCATATCTGTTTTGTTTGGCATACCAAACAAGATTAGATAAGATAAATTAGGAATTTTTTTTCGAATGAAAACCAGGGATCATCAATTCATTTAACCATTTAGCCGTTGTTGTTGTTTTGTTTAGCCGTTTTTATCGAAAAAAGCTAAATTTGTTAAACAATGCCAAGGTAAAAAAAAATGAAAAGGCTCTCTGAATCTAAAAGGGTTTATTCAATTCATTCATTTGAAACAAACGAAAATTCGTTATTATTCTTTACAGGAATGTTAATGAAAATTTTGTTTATGAAATTTTTATTTAATGCTATTTTTTTTTATTTACTTTGTTTATTTATAGAATATCTTATCAATCATAATCATCTTTTGGAAGAAAAAAACACCAAAATCATATCGATATTGCGACGAATCTTATTAAACGATTAATAACAATAATAATCAAAATATCGTAAAATGAAATCGAAAAATATCATAAAATATTTTATGGGTATGAATTTATCGAATCGACAGACATTCAACAACAACAACAACAATAAACAACAGCAAAATCAATCAACATTGATTGAATCTAATTATAATAATTATAATTTATCAAATGGAAAAATGAATTTGGCAAAAAATTTACGATCATCATCATCATCATCGACAATATCATTGATGGCTTTATTGGCCATTATTATGTTGATGATGATAATGACAGTATCGGCTACTTTACCATCATCATCATCATCATCTTCTTTATCATCTCATAATCCTCAAACTGATATTATTCTTGATTCATCAATGTTTGTTCCACCATCATCATCATCATCATTATCATCTTCTGACGAATCTGTATCATCATCATCGTTACCTATTAATAATGAACAAAGGTTAATTGATAATAATGATTTATTTCAATTGAATATGCCACATCATAAATCACCATCATTATCATCATTAATTAATCAAAGAAAATTTGGTCAAAAAGAAAATGAACAAATTATGAATCCAAATGAAATATTTTCTCAGCAAAATGATAATAATGTTGTTGTTGTTGATGATACTGGAATTGATAATGATGATGATGTTTTCATTGTTAAACAACAACATTCAATCGAACCATTGGATGATGATAACGATTATAATCAGGATTTATTACCAATATTTATTGATCAACTATCGTTGGTTGATGATTATTTGAAACATCATCAACAACCACAACAACAACCTATTGATGAATATTCAAATCTATGGGAAAAACGTAATCAATGGAATAAATTTAATGGTAACCTTCTTTTTGTTTTGTAAATGGAATTTTTCATTTCAATTTCAAATTTCATCTATAGGTGCTTGGGGTAAACGTGCAGCCAATTGGAACAAATTACAATCGGCTTGGGGTTTGTGTTTTATTACAGCATTTACATTTTCAAATACCAAACATTTTATGTTTTTTTATTTTGTTTGTTAATTTGAAACATTTTTTTTGTTCAATTTTTTATTGAAGGAAAAAGATTATCATCACCAACAACAACATATCCAAAGATTTCAATCGAAACACGTAACTGGAATAATCTGAAAGGTGCCTGGGGACGTAAACGAATGGCAGCCACAGCAGCAGCAAATAATTGGAATCAATTACATGGTATGTGGGGTAAACGTCGTCGTCGTACACCAACATGGAATAAAATGTCATCAGCTTGGGGCAAAAGTATGTACAATACAATTGAAAAAATTGTAAATCTTAATTTTACAAATCTTTTTTGTTTTGTTTCGAATGAAAGAAAAACGATCAATCGGTATGGTTGCACCGACACATTGGAATAAATTACGTGGAATGTGGGGGCGTAAACGTAGTATTACATCTCAAGAAACAATGGAAATGTTAAAAGAACAACAACAACCGATAACAACCACCGAAAAATCTACAAAACAATAATGATTCTTTTGATTCTTTTTTTTCTATTCTTCTTTTTTTTGGCCACAATCTGTGATTGTGCACGAAAAAAAAACAAACAAAACATAATGCAAGAATTTTGAATTCATCAACGATTATTGATCATCGATTATGATTATTATTATTTAGCTATTTAGAAAAACAAAAATTCAAACACACACCCACCCACGCAGACACTGACAAATACACCTTCAATTGATTCAAGACAGAAACAAAAATTAATTAAATCTTTGTTACCTGACAGACGATGATGATAAAAGTGACAAATGAAAATTGCTCTGTTTTTTCCCCTGAAACCCAAACAACCCAAAACCAAAAAATAAAAAATAAACGAATAGCAATAATTTATTTCGGTGTTTGAATGTTTGTAGGAAATTATTGCAAAAACTAAATAAACTTATCTTTATGTTTTAAAAAGGATTTTATTAGACACAAGATTAGTGAAGAATTGGTGGAAATAGAAATTTTAAAAATATAAAATTAACGTTCTTCACGATTCTCGTTTACAAATGAAATTAGAAATTAATTAAAAAATATAACAATTAAAATTATTATCATGATTCAAAGGTAAAATATAAACAGATTAGATTAGATAAATTAGGATACAACATTTGGTTGGATTGATCGAAAATTGACGAATGTTGTTGTTGTTGAATTTGTTTATGTGATGTTATTGATGATGATTTTGTTTTTGCATTAATTCATTGGATATTTTTTTCGATATAAATGTATCAAAATCATCATCAAAACGTAAATAATCCAATGGATTTGTTGTTGTTGATTTTTCCATTTGTTTTGAATTATTATTCGATAATAATTGTGGCAGATTGATTGTTGAATTTGAATTTGTCATTGACAATTTTGATATTATTGTTGATATCAATGATGTCGACGAGGATGATGACAATGTCGACGATGACGACGACGACGAAGAAGATGATTCTTGCTGTTCATTTCGAATAATATTCCAATCTGATGATAATGATGTTGTCATTGGTGATGGATTCAATACCGATAAAAATGGATTATGAATATTTGTTGCTTGTGATGATTTATTCATTTCATTAACAGTGGTAATATCGATAAAATCCAAATCAAATTGATTATTATTCAGGTGATTATTTTTTGTTTCCATTGTCATTGTCGAAGTCGTTTTCGATGATAATCCCAAATCCAATAATGATGGTACATGATTTATGGCCATTATAACATCATCATCTAATGAACGATCCAATGGATGTGCAGTACGAACGTTTTCAATTTCGGGTAAAATCTTTTTCGATACCAGTTCCGATTTAACAACATTTTTACCATTTTTATCATCATCATTCGATTGTTTTGACGATTGTTTTGTTTGTTTTTGTTTATTTTCCACATTTGTCGATGATGAAGATTGAAGAAATTTTTTCTGATTTTTTAAATTCAATTGCACTTGCTTATCCATTAGATCGGCAATAAATTCAGCATTCGATATACTAATAGCATGATACATATGACATTCATATTGAAATTTTCGTTGTTGTTGCTGATTGGATGAATTAATTTCTTGAGTTGGTTTGTTTGAATCTTTACCACCATCATCATCAATGTTGTTGTTTGTTCCAATATTACATTCTAATGTAAAATAAAAATATGTACGATCTTTTTTCGAACGACGAAACAGATCAATACGACGACAATCAATAGAATATTCAAAACGATAATCATTTGGTAAATAAAATTTCAATTCCAATGAATGTTGTTCATCATTATCATTATTGGTTATTTTCATCATTAATTTACGACGATCAGGATCCATTTGTACGGATTTTGCAATCGACTTTAATTCAGCTTGTCGTCGATAACGTTGTTCAGGTGCATTGAACATCGGTATCTTATCATGACTAACAATCATAAACCATTGTTGTTGAATTGGTTGATTTTGAAAATATGTAACCGTTTTAATATCTTCAACATCATTTACAATTGGATTATTACCATTCATCATATTTGATTTGATTATCTTTGATTTAATCAACGATTGAAATCGGGCGAGAGAAAACAAAAAAAAAATTGAAGTGTTTTTGATTCGAGAAACTGAGAAAATTAAGAAAGCAAATGGAAAAAGAAAAGAAAAAAAAAATGAAATGTTCAAAACCGACTTTCATTTATAAAAGCTTACCAAATACGATACTGTACTTGAACTACAAAAATCTGTTTCAATGTCAAAATTATGATCATCATCATCATTGGCAAAATTTATCGGTCAAAAAAAACAAAAACCAAAAAAAAAAACCAAAAAATCGAACAGCTAAAAGTTTAAAAAATATTCGAATCGATTACAGCGATGGCCACTAGATGGCGTGCTCGAGTCATATTTTTTTTCAAAATTTTTTCAAAAACAACAAAAAAATCAAAAATCGAAAAAAAAACTTTTAAACTTTTAAAAATGTAAAAGAAAAAAATTGTAAATGTCAACAGCAACAACATAATGAGATAATAATGTGATGAGTGGTTGGCTGGTTGGCTGATGACAAACAACCAGAACTTGAAATTTTGAAAGAAAAATAAAAAAATGATAATCGACAACAACATTGTTTGTCAAACAATGATGATGATGAAACAACATTTGATTAATAATTTAACTCTTACCACTCCAATGTCCCCTCTGAGGGGACATTTTCCATTAGAATTTTTTTGTCTGGAGTGGTAAGGGTTAAAAATGCAAGAAAAAGTTTTTTTTTCTTAAAAAAATTTTACGATAACAACAAAAAAGTTGTCAATGTTTTTCTTCATTTTTTTTTCTTCAGTTTTTAAGTAAAGAAATTGGCTGATTGAATGGAATGAATGGAATGTTATCTTATAAATTTTAATTGGATTTTTTTCTATCTCTCCTTGTTGTTGTTGTTGTTGTTGTTATTATTATTTAATAGTTATTCTTCAAACAACAACAACAACAATATTGATATTAGACTTTTTTTTTCTTTCTTTGTTGACAAGAAAATATTCCCAGAAATTTCCCAGAAATATTTTCAAGTTGATTCTTTTTTTTTTGTTCGGTTTTTTTTCCAAAGTTTTTTCCATAAACAAATTGAAAAAAAAAGTTTTCTTCTTTAGTCGTGGTGGATAAGGTAAATAATATTCAAAAAAAAAACTTTTTAACTTTGAAAATTGGATTCTGTCTATAACCCCACCAGCCCTCCGATCGATTGATCCTTTTGATTGATTTGTTGACATTTGAACAGAAAAATTTCAAAATGTCAATGATCATGATGATGGCTGGAATATTTCCCATAAAATTTAACACCATCACATGATTACACTCAAGTTATCGATCATCTCCCCAAAAAAAAATTAATTAACTTTTTGGATAATTAATTAATTAATAATTTTTCCAAAAAGAAGAAAATTGTGATTTACACATGTCGAAAATCGATTTTCACAAATCGATTTTTTCCAGAATCGGAAAAATTTCCGAAAAAAAAATTTGTTTTCCCAGGAAAATTTCCTTGCGAAAAGGAATTTTGTGAAAATCTGGACTAAACTATTTCAACAATGGATTGAAATAGTTTTTTTTCTGTTCAGTCAAGTTCATACATTAAAAGTTATTCATTTTAGATGATATTTCCATTTCCGGTTGAAAGCATCTCACCATTTTCAAATTTTTTGTTTTGTTTTTGTTTTTCAAATTTTTAAAATAAAACTTTTTTTTTCGGTTAAAATTTTTATGAAATGTTATAACATTTCGGATGATGATGATGATGATGCTAAACTAAACAAAAACACCAGATACATTTCTCTCATCATCAACAAACATTGAGAATCATCACCCAAACAAAGTAAATTTGAAAGAAATTTTTATTTTTTTTTCGTTCATTTTTGCCTAATCCAAATACAAACACAAACAAACTGGATGAAAAGGGAAAAGCGAAATGAATTTCAAATATGAAAAAGAAGATTATTTTGCCTTCATTAATAGAAAAACAAAAAAATTTGTTTCATTCAATCAAATTTTGACGTATTTTTCTTTCTTTCTTTTCATTTGACATTGAAAATTTTCAACAGAATTTTTCGGTATTGAATATCTCGGTCATAATATTCAGAATTTTTTCAAAATTAACATTGAATAAATAGAAAAAAAAATATATTTTTCAGGTTTTCCAAATCAACCAACACCTCGATTGTCGTCATAGTTTCCCAATCATATCATTTTTTTTTTTGAATTTCCTTGGTCTATTCACACACTATCGATTCTATCGATAGTTTATCTTTGTATATTTTTTTACTGTCTTTTCGGTCGGTTGGTTTATTATATGGTTTGTTAGTTAAGTTTGTTTGGTCAAACTTCTTGACCAAATTCTGTGTAAATAGACGAAGCGAAACAAAAAATTCAATTTTCACTTAATATATTCATATTTTTTTTTGTTCAATGTTCAAACATCACACAATCAACCACATTTGAATATTTTTTTTTCAAATTGAAAAAAAAATTTTTTTCAATTTGAATGTTGCGTGTTTTTTGTTTGTGGGTTTTGAATTCTTCATCCCACTTGCTTTCTTTCTTTGTTTCATTGCAGAATATTCTGGAGATATTCTGGAGAATTTGATTTGGAAATTTCGTTAACCAGAAAAAAACAAAACAAAATTGAACTCCCATCGATCACATGATTTGGTGATTGATTGGCAAAAAATTCAATTACATTCAAATCATCATCATTATTAATCATAAAAATTTGTTTATAAATTTTTTATTTTTAGAAAACAAAAATTTTGAAAAATTAAAAGACAAAACAAAGCAACAACGCTTGGTTGATGTGAGTCGGAAATCATAATGAAAATATTATTAACACTTCTCTCTCTCTCTTACTTTCACTTACTTTTCTTCAGATTCGTATGACGTATAAAGAATTTGTTTGGGGAAAAAAATGATTTTAAAATTCTTGTTTGTTTCAATAATAACCACAGAAAACTGAAAACATCGCTAATAATAATGATGATGATTTTTTGGAATTCACCATAATTCATTCATTCATTCATAAACATTACATAATTGAAATTCAATCATTAATTTTTACACATTTTTCATTCGTTTTTCGTTACTTTTTTACTTTTCAAGATTTAAACCAAAAAAATAATCATTATCATAATGGACGACGTATGTACACGTACACTCTTACAAGGTAAAGATTTTATGACTTTTCTACTTTCAAAATTGCCATTATGATTATCATCAGTATCCGGTAAAATTAAATTATTAATTACCTTTTTTTTGTTACCTGCTTATCTTTACCGTCTGTCTGTCTGTCTGTCTGTCTGATTCTTACCTGTTTTTGATTCTTACCTGTGTGTGTTTTTTTCTTTATTCACATTCTGTCTAATTTTACAAAGATCCAAAATAAATTAAATTTGATTCAATTTGAAGAATAGCTAGTTTCTTTACAAAAACCAAAAAAAAAACAAACCAAACACAAAGGTTAATGGGTAGTTTGTTTTTGTTTGTTGTTTTTCCGGGCTAAAATCATGAAATTATAGATCCAAAAAAACCGAATGAAAAATTCAATGATTTGGATAAATGTTTTTTATTGTTTGTTTGTTTGTTCGTTTGTTTTTATTGTTATTACCTTTTCTGTGAATCGTGTGTAGTGTGTTCACCTAGATTGTAAAAAAGCATAATAATGATTTTTGTTTGGCTAGGTCCACCTGAATTTACCTGAACTGCTGGTTGGGAGTCATATAATTTAAATTAACGAAAAAAAATGGAAAATTGATAAGCACAAAATATGGGGTAAGGTATAAAGCAGACGCAGACAGATAAAGAGATTTAATTTAATAATTCTCTCTCTCTCTCTCTCTCTCCCTCTGTTGTTTTTTTTTTCGTTAATTATTCAATTTTTTTTCTCAAAATTCTTATCGCAAGGTAGTCTTTTGCATTTGTTTTTTTTTTCATAAAAATCAAAGATCAAAAAATGAAAAATTTAAAAACGAAAATGAAGCAATAAAGCAAAGCAAAAGGAAAAAATTGGGTGAACAAAATGTAAATCGGATTTCAATTTCAAAAGATTATTTGTTTGTTGTCGTTTGGTTATTTTGAAAAGGTAATTCTTTGTGTGTGATTCTGATGGTGGGTGGACGGTTGATGGGAGGTGGTGTATCCCAAGTAGTATGGCTCGAAATACGAATGAATCTATCTAGCCAAAAAAAAAAACTGAAAAGAAATAAAGAATTTGAATTGATCCATTAAAGGGGGTGGGAAAAAGAGGGAGGTGGTGGTGGGGGAAAAAATCAAATGATAAAAACAGTAAAAAACATCTAAATATAAACCGAAAATGAATGAAATAAAATGGTTTTATTTCTGTATTTGAACGGTATAAAGATAAAAAATTGATGGAAAACTTTCTGATAAATAAGATCAAAGATAGTAGTAGTAGTAGCAGGTTGTAATATGATGAATAAATTATTATATAAATTAAGTAAATATTGTTACAAAAAAGGTTGGTTACAATTATAGCATTTTTTTCCAATGGGAAAAAAACGCCTTTTTTATATATTATCAAATTTATCCTTTTTAAAAATACAAAAAAAAGCAATTCTTAAATAAGATTATAAGATTTCTATCTGTTACTTATAGATATTCAACAGATATTTATAGAATAGAAGAGAGATAGAGATAGAAATCATTTTAGAAAAGTGAAATCAATTTTCTCATTTCTTCAATGTTGTTGTTTTTTATTATCTATAGAAAGCAGCAAACAAACATTGCAAAAAAACAAAAAACTATATCAGTATTCTAGTGTGTTTGGTTAATTCTTAGATCATCATCATTTCGATTTTAATAAGTATTTGGCCCAAAAAAAAACATTGTTAAATGAATAATTCAAGATAGAAAAAACAAACAAATGAAAGTTTGAATATTCATTGTAATCGATCGATTGATCGACAATAGCAAATTATTATTCCAAAAATTTGAATGAATTTTTTGAAATTTCTTCTCGTTTTAAGAAAATTCCAGTTTGATTATCGAGCAATTCTATTGTCATCATCATCATCATCATATCGATGAAACATTAAATTTTCTGTTGTTTTGTTGTTTTGTTTGTTATTCTCTCTGCTATACAACCATTTTTTATCGTTTGTTGTTTTCATGCAATTTTCATTCACAATAATAATTGCCAAAACACACACATTCAGGATAGTAATGGATATTTGATCCAATAAAACAAAAAATTGTCCATTATAATTTCATTTTTTTCCCCCATTGATGTTTTTTTATTATCGATAAAAATTTAAATAGATTCAATCAACCAACAACAACAACAACAACAACAATGTCAATGACAACAACTTCCACCAAACAACAAAACACCCAGTCCATCCTC